TGTCAGTATTTGGTTCTTGACGAAGTGAGGTCGACAGGATACCATTTGGTCAATATTACTTATTATTCTTACACACTTCTTTTGCAGTAAGAACACTTTACCTACATCACTAGAGTTCCCCCACAAAATGACACCGTACGATAGTACGGAATATGCATATGCATAGTAAGAAGCAAGGGCGGTCCTAAAGTCCGTAACACGTTTGAGATGCTGGACAGCATAGACAAAAGAGTTTAATTTATTTAATACCTTCTGAATATGCTGCTTCCAGTTCAAATGCGTGTCTAGAATAACTCCCAACATTGGAGCAGTGTTCACAGATTCTAATTCGGTATTATCGTAGTTATATGATATTTGCAATGCTGTTCTCTGATGAGGTCTGAATTCAATAATTTTTGTTTTATTTAGGTTTAGTTCCAAATTATGGTATTCAAGCCAGTTTACAATTTTGCCTAGTGTTACGCTTAATTTTGTTTCTAAATCTCTACTGTTGCAACATGGGATTAGGACGGAGATGTCGTCAGCAAAAAGTATACACTGATCATCCAGTATATTTGGAAGATTATTTATATAAATAAGGAACAAAATGCATCCCAAAACGCTACCCTGTGGAATAGAGCCAGTAACAAGAACCCTATCAGATCTAGTCAGAGTGATCCTGCCGGTCTCAAGATTGGTATTTTCTATTTCTACATATTGGAAGCGGTTGTGTAGGTATGATTTGAACCAGTTGTGGGCTATTCCTCTAATTCCAGTTTGGTACAGCTTATGTAATAGGATCTCGTAACAAACTCTTTCGCAAGCTTTACTCATATCGAGTAAGAGCCCGACTGCAAATTTTTTGTTGTTTAGTTCTTGTAATATATTTGTTACAAATTTATAAGTTGCTAAAGTAGTGGAGTGAAACTTTCGAAATCCATGTTGGCTCTCATGAAAAATTTTAAATTTTTCAAAAAAAGAATTCAAACGTTTTATCATAGCCGATTCGAATATTTTGGCTGAGGTTGGTAATAGGGCAATAGGACGGTAATTAACAATATCGGTAGTGTCTCCCTTTTTATGGACAGGTTTTATTACTGATATTTTAAGGGCATCGGGGAAAATACCCTCGGAGAAAGATTGGTTTACTAATATAGTGTAGGGAACTGTTAATAGATCAGCGCATTTTTTTACCAAAATGGGGGGTAGTTCGTCGATGCCAAAAGAAGTTTTATTTTTAAGGTTTTTTATTATTTTATTGATTTCTACAGGTTCCACGGGGCTCAGAAAAAAAGTATTTTGAATTATATTTGTTGGACATGTTCTCATTGAATTGTAAGAGTCAAAGTGTGAATTGCCGATAGATGAAAAAAACCTGTTGAACATGTTTGCAACTAGTTTAGTTTATAATTTGGTTATATTATTAACATAGTTAAATCAAGTCTAAAAAAAAATATTATTTATTATGTTTATATTATCTTTCGTATTTATTTAGTTACGACATTATTATTTGTTTAATTTATACAACATGAAAATGGCGTCAGCTAGCTGGTTATCGTATCAGCGGAATCCTCTAGGTTATAGCTGAAAATCAGCGGTTTGCTCCTGAGTAAACACCGACGCTGAGCTATGGCCTTTTTGCGCTGCTACAGCACATATACATAACTGGGTGTTCGGCAGTGCTGCGACTCTGCTGTTTTTTTTTCTTCTTTTCTTTTATTGTATTACATATTTTTCTGTTATGTATGTGTATTCGTAGATCCAAATAACCGTTTTATCTATCTATCTATCTATCTATATAGTATTGTTCACATCGTCGTAGGAACACTGGTGGCTTTTAACTTTAAATAATAATGAAGTATAATAATAATTACCACGAAGCAACAAATTATAATACAAATTTAATTACAGATAATAGCGACATCTCTAGCCAGGGTTGGTAACTGGGTTACCTAACTGGGTGACGAAACACTTTCATAGATTTCTCATAGATGGCGCTACGGCTAAAAAGTCGTTGAAAATCAAATACAAAGATCCGACAAACAAACACATAGAAAAATTCGAAAGGTCCGCTGGTTCGTTCCGTGGCTTAGTTGGCATAGCGTCTGGCACGGTTTGCTAGAAGACGTCGGTTCGTTCACTTTTAATTATAATTTATATTTATTAAATATCACGATGTAAAATTTTTCTATGCGTCTGTCTGTATGTGCCATCACAGCTTCCAAACGGATCAACTTATCTCAAAGCGGCATTATTTAGGTATACATACTACACACTTTCCATCAGGTGAGATAGAGGTCAAACACGCATTTATATTTTTTATGAAAAAAAAAGAAATGGGACCTGTAAAATCAGAATAGTCCGTATTACAATGCAATAAAAATTCACAATAAACTACCCGAGTACCTAAGAAGTGACACAAAACAAGTTTCACTAAAAGCCGGCCTGCCACGCATTTGTCCCAGGTTCGATTCCCGGGCCGGGAGAAATATTTGTATGGCCTTCACTTATTTCTCTCGTGAATTTGGGTGTAAATGTGGTTGTCTAAGTATGTGTTCATGGCACCCGCGACATAGGGTTTCCCTAGTGCGGGAATATGTTGAGTGTGTGCGTTACTAATTGACAAACGCATTTTTTTTATAACATCAAGTGGCGGGACAAACAAGTCGTGCGCGTGATGGTAAGCTACATGCCTGTCCATAACAGTTACAGTGCCACTCAGAGCTTTAAATTACAAAGATCTGAGGGGCACTACCACTGCGCCCGTCACCCTCAGACATAAGTTGACAAGTCCCACTTGCCTGTGATTTCACCAGCACCCTTATCCTTCAAAACCAGATCACAGTAATGCTGACATTACTGATTGGCAGCAGAAATAGATAAGGTGGCGGTACCACCCTGAACGAACTCTGTCACAAGGAGCTCTACTGCAATCAAAAATCCATCCAAAATCCAAAAAATTGTTTCATTTCCGCAGTTTTCTTTTCAAATTATTATAATCGTACCCGGCAGTCGTTGCTATATCAAAATTATTTTCTTCTACAAGTACAAGGTGACGGGAACCGGAGTTTCGCCGATTTTAATGTCTATATTAGCGAACTAAAAAACGGCCTCCTATGTATTCAACCGTATCGAGATACCATTGAAAGGTATTGTTTGGAAGTAGAAATTTTCGTGTTCAATGGAACAATAGTTGAAGTTGTGATGAAATTACTTTAATTGTGTTTGCTTAAGTATTTATTACCTTACTATTATATTAAACCAACCGCAACCGGAGCAAATGCGTTTGTGAGGCGAATTACCTGAGAAATAGTATTTATTTTGTAGCAGTAGACCTCCTTGTGAAAGAGAAGTACTGCCACCTTACCTATTTCTGTCGCCAAGCAGTAGGTAATGGGAGCATTACTGCATTCCAGTTTAGAAGGTTAATGGCGCTGGTGAAATTACAGGCACATGGGACTTAGCAGCTTATGTCTCAGGGGACGGACGCAGTAGCAGTGCCCCTCAAATATTTGTGATTTAAAAGCTCTTATGTCATTGTATTAGTGTCATTTAACAACAGGCGCATGACTTGTTAATCCCGTCGCTTAGAATCATAAAAAAATTTACTAAACACTGCATTTCAAGAAAGATCAGTTAGTTTCAGCATGGACAATAATTTGTTTAATACAATTTGCTATAAAGCCGCAAATTCCGAACGGCGGCGCGTACAGCGGACCGTTCAAGATTTATGCGTACATTGTGTCTTGTGTTTGTTACATCCAAAAATAGATACATGTTTGCGCGCAATGTACGCGCAAACCTTGATCGCTTCGCGTCACGCACCGCCCCGTTCCGAATTTGCGGCCTGACAGTACCACCGCAATAAGGCGAAGTTTTTTTAAATGAATATTTACAAGCCCAATTTAAAAGATTACTTGCAAAGAGTTTTATTATGTTTGGAATTAATTGTGAAATCTTTAATATAATAATTAAGTAAAGGAAATTAAATAAAAATATTTTGTAAATTGATAGAAATGTTATTAATTTCCTTTAATAATGTTATAAATTACGAGAAATTACGAGTGTTTTACGTATTGTACCCTTGGTATATAAAAGGTCACATCTTACATCATCACAAAATTACAAAATTTCAGGAACGAGGTTTAAATATTCTATAAACGAAATTGGTCGTCGACTTTTTTATATTTAAATAGAAAAGTTATAAAATTTCACATACTTATACATAATGTGTTTCATGCAGTTCGTATTATTTTTATTATAAAAGCATTTTTGACGTGTCCAATATTTTTGGAAAGTCTGAAAGAGCGATTTTAATTTTGACAAATAAAATTTTTGTAATTTAAATTGATAATTTAAAAAAAAAAAATTAATTGTTTCTTTAAAAGTTCAAGTGTTTTGGCCGATGTTATGGAATTAACTCCATCTGACGTTGGTTTCTGCCACCACGGCGAAATCTAGACACAAATTCAAATATTGTTATAAATAAAAACAGGCCGTCAGCACAGACTAAGGGTCCTGTAAAGGGCTGGAAACGTTGGTTTGTTCGAAAAAAAAACAAATTTAATGTTATTTAGATCCGAAAAAAAAAAACCAAAAAGTGAATTCTGTCTATGTCATATCTAGATGCAGGATGGATAAGTCATAATTCTTACATCCATGTTTTTGTTTGTTGCGTGTGAATGCCGGCCGCATCGTGCAACTACCTTCATCGGAACTAATTGCAGATAAATTCAACTCAAAACGTATGATTTTAATTTTTGTCTACCTACATTATTTTTCTTAATACGCAGTGAATGGTGATGGTTGGTGGTAAGATCTTAAATTTTCTCTGTAAGTGAATTTATATTCTTAAGAAAAATAAATATTCTTTAACCACAAAAATCCCTGTAAGTACTAACTACCCTGGACTAACTCTTTCACAAGTAGCTCTACTGCTACCAAAATATATCATATTATATTTTAATAGCGATATCATGTTATACAGTCAAATAATCATTTACTATTCTAATAAAACTTACCGGCGGCTTTTCGACTGGGCATCTTGGTCCTGGCCTCTTGCACGTACTGTTCGAATTCAAACCGGTAGGGCTTTTGGGTGCCCATCGTACCCAGAGTGATCGGTTCCAGCATGGCTGCCAGTACTTCCATATTCTCCATTATTGCCTTAGCAACTGTTACAAAAACAATAGACAATCGGACAATAATCAGAAAAAATCTTAAATGTACTGAGAAAGAATGTTACTATAACAAAAAGTATCAATAAATAAATATTTTTGAGACATAATAATGTTCGGACTCTGAAATCAATAAATAATTTCATATTTGTATGCAGTTGTTTTAACGATGAACTTAATATTTACACTAAATTCTCCTAATAAACCGTCTATGAATATTATAAAATAAAAATAAAACGAATCAGTAAAGTTATGGTTTTGTTTTTTTTTTTTTTTGATATGGCAATTATAACACCTAATCTGCTGGTGAATTATAATAATAATAATAACGCATACACTCAACACAGCCCCGCACTAGGGAAACACTGTGTCGCGGGTGCCATGGACACACATAGACAACCACAAATTACACCCAAACTCACGAGAGAAATAAATGTAGGTCGTACAAATATTTCTCCCGACGCGGGAATTGAACCTGTGACCTCCGCGTGGCAGTCCAGCATGAAAACCGTTCGGCCACGGAATGGAATTGGATACAATTCATCACAATATGGGACCGTTTTACGAATTGCAAGGAACTCTGTAAATGAATTGCTTTTAGCAGAATTGCACGATTTGGCCTTTTTAGGCACCCAGGACATCAGATGAATATTTACTTAATTACAAACCCGAAAAAGGCAGCTGGCAAAAAAGAAATGTCAAGCCGTTTAAGTGGAAACAAAATAAATATTTCTATAATGACTGAGATCAACACACTAAATGGAAAAAGAACTGAAGATCCTTCAGCAGTTGTACCTATGTTCATCATCAAGCATGGACCATCAAACGAAGAACCATTCCTATTCAATCAACGCTAATTAAGCCATTAAAAAATCCTTCGAGAACTTTGAGTCCATGCATTTGGACTAATAGACGAATAATTGGAAAGAAACTTTTAATTTGATCGAGTCATTGACCTACCAACCGAGTATTACTTATTTGACATTAATTGTTCCGGACAGATGTCGGACAAAGGAGACGAATAAAGAATCATAACTGTATAATATGAAACTTGTAACTAATGATACCATTATTTCTATATTTGTATTAATTTTGGTGAAATTATAGGCATATGGGACTTGTCAACTTATGTCTCAGGGACAAAACTAGCAGTGCCACTCCGATCTTTGCGTTTTAAATCTCTATGTGGCACTACAACTGTTAAGGACAGGCGTGTAGCATACCACTACTTATTCGTTTCGTCACTTGATATCATAAAAGAAAATTAGTAAAAAAAAAATCTACATTGTGTGTTTAAAGTTACCTACACGATTGAAGACTACCTATTTAACTAAAGATTACATAACGAATCATCTCGATATAACAAATAAGTATCCAATCAGTTATATCACAAATTAACTTATAGCTATTAAACCAAACACATAATAGCTATATTAAGCACGGCTGACGTTTTAAAGCAGTTAGCTAACAGTGCACCTGTGCTGAGATAGGACAGGACTTGTAGTAATACACTTACTTTCACATATCATACACAATCACTGTACACAGGTTAGGAATGATTCATAAACCACTCGTTGGGTGTAGTATAATTTGGTAGAAGGGGCCGCTTTCCGCAAATCGATGTCATAGCAACTTTCGCATGCCTTTCGTTTGGTAACAAACGCTGTAATTGTTTTGAAGTAAAAAGTGTTAATATCTTTCCAATTTAATCTTAGCGTATTTTTTGTCGTTATGTCGTTAGCTTGAACTTTAATTTCGCTAACTGTTGACAAATAAGTTATTACTATATCAAGAAAACTTGACGAACTCGGTGCCTGAACGGTTTGCACTGTGGACACTGTATGAGGAAGTCACGGGTTTGATTCCCGGTAGAACCAATTTAGGAAACAAATTTTTCTAAACCGTTTCTAGTCTTTCTCTCCAGAAAGATCTCATGGACCTCGGTGCTTGTGGGTGGAGGGAGCGGGCTTTGAAACTTGAGACGTGACAGAATCTAGTGTCTCTAGTCTGGGTGTTCTGGGAAGTGCCTCAGAGTGAGTTCCGTTGCTGTGGTACTCTTAATACAGGGAATTCCTTAATTGAGACCAGGCAATTGGTATGATTGTCTGACACATTACTGGTACATTACAAAGTACAAAGTGTAAAAAAATCAAAGATTGCAATAGTGCAATACCTAGTTCGTGGATAATTTTCAAGTTAGTTTTTTAGTAGCAGCAGAGCTCCTTGTGAAAGGGTAGTACTGCCACCTTACCTATTTCTATCGCCAAGCAGTAATGCCAGCATTACTGTGTTCCGGTTCTGAAGGGCATGGGTGCTCGTGAAATTACAGACACATGGGACTTGTCAACTTATGTATGTCTTAGGGCGACGGGCGCAGTGGCTCAGATCTTTGCAATTTAAAGCACTAAGTGGTACTATAACTGTTATGGACAGGCATGTAGCTTACCAAAAAAACTTAAAAAAACCTAATTTTGGTGGCAAAGTTTATTATTTAAGTATTCGGGTATTCAGGATACAACACGCGAAAATTAAATAACACTTCATGATAATAATGAGTTTGTGACACTTTTGTTACGCAGCTAGCACCACAATCACAAAGTGTCTTTCCGTCTTGTGTTCTTTTTAGAAAGAAAGAAGAAAGAAGGAAAAGTAATTTATTTTGCTGTTTGTGTTTTAATTTGATGTATTTTTTATATTGTTTTTTTGTTTTGTTTCGTTTTTTTTCTTTTGTGTTGTCATCTAAATCAAATATATTTATTGTTTTCTTTCTTTCTATAATGCTCTGTAATACTTAAATAATAAAAATTGACAATGAAATTAGGTAGAGAACACTAAGTTTAAATTTTTATTGAATTGAATTATTTTTTGTGAAATTATTCTTTTAATTATTTCCACTGGTTTGTTATAATTATTAATACAAAGATCCAACACTCAGAAAAAATTTCTTCGATCCGGCCGGATTCAAACCGACGTCTTCCAGCTTACAGTGCCAGACGCTATACCAACTAAGCAACGGAACAACTAGCGGACCTCACGAATTTTTCCCTGTGCTTGCGTCGTATCTTTGTATTTGTTTTTTTCAACGACTTTTTAGTCGTAGCGCCATCTATGACAAATCTATGAAAGTTTTATCACCCAGTTAGATATCTTTACTATATATTTTTTCGTTTATTATGTTTATTATTTAGGTTATTATGTTTTGTAGTTTTTAGTTGGCATATAATATACTGGCACGGCAAGCTGGAAGACGTCGGTTCGAATCCGGCCGGATCGAAGGAATTTTTCTGAGTGTTGGATCTTGGTATTAATAATTATAGAGAACACTAAGCTAAAAATTACCATCATACATCAAAATTACTTAAAATCGTATAGAGTGTGTAGCGATCGATTAAGTAATTGAGTCTCCTTCACAGTGTTGCAGTGGACAACTTAAAGTTGCAACACTAGACACGTGAACTGATTTTAAGAACGACGAATTTCACAACTATCAAGGAGACCGCATTGTGATCTCTTGATTTATTGCGAGTTTTATTATACGCAAGTAAAATAATAAAGTAAAAAAGTAAATAAAATAATAAAAAATTACAAATTTTCAGAAGAGAGTTTTAAACATTATACAAACGAAATTCTTTACATCGTCATCATCATTTAGTAGCAGTAGAGCTCCTTGTGACAGAGTTCGTCCAGAGACGTACTGCGACCTTACCTATTTCTGCCGCCAAGTAGTAATGTGAGCATTACTGCGTTTCGGTTTTGAAGGGTGAGGGTACTGATGAAATTAAGGCATATGAGACTTGTTAACTTATGTCCCAGGGCGACGGGCGAAAGTGACAGTGCTCCTCAGATCTTTGTGATTTAAAGCACTAAGTGGCACTGCAAATGTTATGGACAGGCGTGTCGCTTAAAACAAAAACATCATCATCAACCCATTTATACGACTCACTGCTGGGCACGGATCTCCTCTCCGGCGAGGGTTTAGGCCAGAACCTTCTTCGACGTGCAGGTTTCACCACGATGTTTTCCTTCACCGGAAAGCTCATGGTAAAAAGCAAATTAAATTTCGTAATCGAACTTGAGACCTCTGTGTGAGAGTCAGGCATGGTAATCGTACGGCCACGGCCACGGAGGCAGTTTGAATATCATGATTTTTTTTTTAATATTTAGCTACGGAACGAGTCATTGAATCTTAGGATTTTCTTTTTGTGCCTGTTGCAGACCTTTGTTTTTTGTTTAACGACTTTTTATCATAACGCCATCTGTGAAACATATATGAAAGCTTTTTCTCTGTAGCTCTGTTAGGAGAGCGATAACCCAATATCAATAATAACTTGCTTATGCTTAGAAATCACTAAATATTTTGCACAGATAATAAAAGATTGTTGACCAAAGTTTAAAATACCAATAAAAATTTAACAAAAGTTTATTAAAGGTTATTTATTTCATTTTAATTTCGCTACGTGCATGAATTTAAGGCAAGCAGCCGCCAGTACAATCGTACTTTCTAAAAGATTACATAAAGTTTAGTCTTTTAACCTTCATAATTAAATAAAAAAGACAAAGTGAACTCGCATCCTTGGAGAAACAAGGTCACATCTGCAAAACTGGCAACTTTTTGGAGAGGATTAAAGACTCTACCAAGAAATTAGTGGATAACTTTTTATGCTTAAATGGGAGGTTTATACATTTTTTAAATCTACATAATTTAATTACCAGTAGAGCTCTTTGTGGAAGAGTTCGTCCAGGGAAGTACTGCCACCGTACATATTTTTGCGTTCTGATTTTGAAGGGTAACGGTGCTGGTGAAATTACATGCACATGGGACTTGTCAACTTCTTCCTTTTGTCAACGTCTCAGGGTGACGGCGCAGTGGCATGGCCCCTCAAATCTTTGCGATTTAAAAGCTTGAGTGGCACTGCCACTGCTATGGACAGACGTGTCGCTTACCACCAGACGACGACTTGTTCGTCCCGTCATTTATTACATTAATAATAAAAAAAGGTCACTGATTGTCTTCGATTTTTTTTAATAACGCAGACACTCATAGACCCGCAGTAGGGAACATCCTTATCGCGGGTGCCATGGACACATAGACGTTATTTCACAGACGTATAAATAAATGTAGGCCATGCATTGACTTACAAATAAATGGACGACGGGTTTAATACAAAACCCACGAAAAAAATGTCTCAAGTCGACCTATTTAAACGTAGTGACATGTAAAGGAATATGTAAAAGCTAAAACGTTGAATTTAAATTGTAATGTCATCGCAGTACTGTCTAATTTTGCTTGCTTCGCTGTCAGTCGAACAAACGAAGACTAAAGCGTGAATGACGCTCTGTATACGATTTTAACGCCCTATAAGTTCGGACACTTTTTAGCGTGGACCCGACGTCCATATAATTGTAAGTCAATGAGGCCATGCAAATAATTCTCCCGGCCCGAGAATCGAACCCGGTACCTCTACGTGGCAGTCCAGAATGGTAGCCGTTCGGCCATGGACGCGATTGAATTGATTTTTATTACTTTACATCAAACATCAAACTTAATAAAAAAGAACTTTTTTTCATATAACAACAAGAAACTAACTAATTTACTAGTCGCTATAATTAATGCAGTGACGAATCTATTCAAGCTTAAGATGAAGCGGTGAGGAAAGGTGGTGATTTAGATTCCACTGGTCACATGTGGCTTTTATAAGCTACGAATCACTAATTTTTTTTTTTTTTTTTTTTTTATACATGACAGGCAAATGACTCCACTCCACCAGATGTTAAGTGGAAAGTGGTATCCAAACGCGAAGGAACCTAGTGCAGCGATGAAATCCTCACTGCACTAGCCACCTCCACCCTGCCTGCCTACAATATGCCTCTTCACGCCTCGTTTGAAGGACCCCATATCATAAGAGGGAGGGAAGACATGTGACAATTATTTTAGTTCATGCCAAATTGGCTTCCATTTTAAAATACATACCATATTGATAATCCTTGCTGCGAAACACGAACTTCGAAAGGTCAGTGTTATTTTTGATACGGTCCATGCGCCGCGTCAGATTCTGCAGATTCTCCTTCAACTTTGGCGGCACCGCCTTGTCTAGCTCGTTTATTGTGTACTCCAGCTGCCCTGTTAAATCATAATTTATTTATTTACTATTACATTTCAAAAGCACTATAAACAAAACATTCTAGATACCATAAACTTAAAACTATTTTTTTCCGTATGCCGCTCATTCGTCCTACAAAAACATTTCTATTTGTAGTGTGTGTGCTGCTGCGGCTGCGTGTTAATATTCCTCTTAGTGTGCGTTAGACTCGTTAATAAATGGTGTCACTAAACCTTAATCCTTGTATATACATCCCACCGCTGAACACGACTCTCTTCTGATAAATTTAATACTAAATATTAAGTTAGTATGTATGTTCTTATTTTTTCTAAGTGATTTATTAAGAATTTCTCATCGAATCTTCATCATTTTAAAAGTTTTAGTAGCAGTAGAGCACTGTGTGAAACATTTCGTCAAAAGTACTGCCACCTTACCTATTTCTGTCGCCAGGCAGTATGGTGGTGAAATTACAGGGACATGAGTCTTGTCAACTTATGTCTCAGGATGTCGGGCGCAGTGGCACTGCAACTGTTATTGACAGGCGTATCGCTTACCAACAGGCGCACGACTAGTTCGTCCCGTCACTTAGTATTACAAAAAAAGTTAAAAGTTACGTGTGTATTATAATATAAATTATTGAATTGCTCACGTTTCATAATACCGTTATATCTACGAACACTTTGTAATACGATAAATACATTCAAAACTGTCAGTCATTATTTTACTTCACCTCAACCCCGAGTATATTATATAATGTAATTAATATCCTAGAGGTCATAATCACTCGACCTTATTGCATTTAGAAATGTACCTAGTGAAAGTCCAATGTTATTGCAAAACTGAGAAGACGATATTGACTAATATGTCATTGGTAACATTCAGGAAAAGCTACATTAGGGTGAGATTTGAGGGGAATAAATTGATGTCAATTTTTGTGATACCAAATTCCGGGATGAACAAGTCGTGCGCCTGGTGGTAAGCGACACGCCTGTCCATAATAGTTGCAATTCCACTAAGAGCTTAATTCGGAATAGATCTGAGGGGAACTGCCATAGCGCCCGTCACCCTTAGACATAAGTTGATAATTCCCATGTGCATGTAATTTCACCAGCTCCCTTACCCTTTAAAACCGGAACAATGATGTTCTTCAGCATGGCAGTACTTCCCTGGATAAACTCTTTCACGATGAGCTCGACTGTTACGAAATGATCAATTATCTGGCGATTGTAGTGGGACACTGTTGCAGGTTAATAAAAGAAATCTTGGACCTCATGAATGAGTAAAAGTAGTGTGTGAAGAAATATTCGACTCACTGATGGGTACGGGTCTGATCTAAGGCGAGAGTTCAGGCAAATTTTAGCGTTGCCAATACGGACTTGGACAAATATAAATTCTAAACCTACGTATATTTACCTGTGTTTAAGATATTTTTACCTAAACACGTGTGATTTTTCGTAATTACTTTATCCTATGTTTGTTTGGAAAGAGAAGTGGTAATTCTACAAGGTCCTATTATCAAAACATAATATATATATAATTCCATTGAAAAACCAGCTTTACAGCCTAACCTCGGCTGGTGCTTTTGCTGGGTGGATCCTTCTGCGTATGCCGCAGCTGCACTCATGACAGTATATGGAATTGGGTTGACTGTTTGTAATTTTATGCTCGGATACATAGTCACAGACAGGGAATTTTGTTCCTGGACTGTACGCATAATAAAAGATGGCGAAAAGCGCTTAGTACGCCTTAAAAGAATATCGAGTAAGTAGGAATTATATCCTGGCGTACGTTCGGACTCCCGATGGTAAAAGAGGGAGTCCAAACGAGAGGGGAGTGATAAGCTGATGGTGCTCATTGTCATAGGCACACTGTGTTTAAAGTATATTTTGTAGAAAACCGACATACAGGCAACTTTGCGGTGGGCTAAACTATGTATAGTCTTTTTTTTTCAAGATGGTGTAAAATGACAGTTCTTTGCGCAAAAATGTTGACCGCTTGCAAACATATAGTCGTCGAAAAAGTATTATATCGACTATCGACTGAATGTTGAATACGCTGATGTAATAAATAACCGAACTTGTTTCATTTGAATCATCATCTGCCAATTATTCGTCCAACTGGTGGCCACAGGTTCATTTGAATTGTTAATTTCTGAAAATTCATACATACACCAAATTTTGCCGTAAGTGCATAAAAAATTCAAATAAAAGACTTATTTTAAAGTTTTTCATTTGAATTTAATATACATAATGAAATCCGTCTATCGTTATTACAATGTGTATGACTAAAAATTAATTTCGATATTAGTAGACTAACAATCAAAATAAGAATAAAGAATGCAATAACGCAATTAGTAATCATTAGAACGTCGTAACATTTACAATTCAGACATTTTTGGCAAAATTGTACCTACTTTCACAATCTATCGATAAAATTGTCGACAACAACTACATGACTATTTAAAATTTATCGAGTTCTTAGGTTTTCGCGATCGTTACACATACGAAATGAAACAGTTTTTCCGGATTAAAAAAAAGAGTGTTTTGCATTAATATTAGACTTAACTGGTTGGTGACTGTATCACCTCAGTCAACCGTGACCATGTGACCTGTAAAGGGCCCGAAACGTAGGTTTGTTTGAAAAAGAGTAGTTTCATTTCCTATATTTAAAAATTTTACGAAAACTGGCAACCCTGCAAATGTAATTTTACTCCATCTTCAAAAAATACAGACTATAGTGTAGATTCAAGCTTATCGTCAGTAATAAGTCTTCCAACTCTGTGTGCAGTAAAATTCTATATACTTACTATTCTATACGTCTATTCACATTCTATTCTACATTATATACCATCCTCTTACATACCTCTGGCAAGCCCCAAAGCGATGTACCATTCCGGGTCTTTCGAAGGCTTTTTCTCATAATATTCCAGCAACTTGTCCAACGTGATTGATATCCTATACACTTTAGGAACGTTATAAATGAAGTCCTGAGTATCAAAATAGGGGTATATCGCCGCGACTGGCGTTAGTATAGCTAACAAGGCAATAATGTTTGCATACATTCTGAATTGCACTGACCGTAAAAGGAGCGCAACGTAATAGCTATCGTTAAAAAATATCGCAGGCCACACGGTGGACTGTGATTGGCAGTTAACGATTCTAATTACTTTGCAATCCAAAAGCAGAAAAATAGGTTTCGCTATCAATAAGGCTTAAATTTATAAGCTCCCGTCATTGGCGCATATAAACACTACCTGGCTTATGGGATGCAATTAGCTAATCCAAACTATATTAATTTAATTTTGGTCCAAAATAATAATATTATAAATGCGAAAGTAAGTCAATTCAAATTTGATGAATATTAATATAGAGATAGATGGGACCTAGAAGAAAGAATACGGGTTACTTTTTGTCACAAAAATAAGTCCTAGAAGGGGTGAAATAGGGGGATAAATTATATATATTTTATTAATTTTATGCGGACAAACAAAAAACATCCTAATTTCAACAGGGAAGATGGTTTCTCCGTACCACCAGTTTGGGATCCAGTATTTCCTCTAATGAAAAATCCCAAACAGACATAAGACTGCAGTACTAATTAATATGTTTTAGTTTATTCTAATTTCTATTAATAATTAATAATAAATTAAACTTAATAAAAATTCATTAAATAAAATAATTTGTAAAACTTAATGTAGCGTAAATTGGAATGTTTTCTTTGTAAAATTAAAAATAAGGTATTTAATTAATAACTATTGTAACTATAGTGAAAAAATAGGGTGGTTTGCATTAATATTAGACATAACTGGTTGAAGACTGTACCACCACAGTCAACCGTGACCATGGGACCTATAAAGGGCCCGAAACGTCGGTTTGTTTGAAAAAACAAATATACGCGATTTAAATCCGGAAAAATTGTTTCATTTCCTATGTGTAACAATCGCGAAAACCTAAGAACTCGATAAAGAGTATTTCATTCATTCGTTCGTTCATTCATTCCTTCATTCATTGAATTTAGCATGATTTAACATTCAATGGCTTCTCGGAGTAGCAAATTAATTTACTTCCATTTCTATGACCACAATTTTCCGCAAAGAAACGTCTAAATCTGTTAAATTATGGCCTAAAGTTTAAAAAGGTGACGGGATCAAAAGGTGGAAGATATAACATAGAATAGTAGTCGTAGACCTATTTAGTTATGCATTAATGTCGAATGATAGTGTAACGGGGTTATGATTATGGGATGCAATAATGGATCTACAGGTATTTCCTACAGTATTGAAATTTTCTTAACGTCAAGTTTCCTGTTCTGGACACTAGGACTATACATGAGCATTTTTGCACTGTTTTTTTTAATTACCGAAAATAGCGCAAGCAAATTAGCATTCTTTTAAACAAGCCTTTCTAGATATCAAAATGTCTGCTATTTACCTACGTAAAAAGGTCATTCTAATACGCTGCTTATTCAAGCGCTCAGTATATGTTTTTTTAATCCAATTGATTTTTCAGAAAAACAGGACAATTTCAGCTTTATTTTATCTTGTATATAAATCTATTGATATCCATGATACTATAGAATTATTTAAATATTTTATACAAGAGGCAAACAATCAACGAGCCTACCTGATGGAAAGCGATTACCGCTGCCTATTACCATCAAGTTCACCGTGATTTGTTGCATAATTGTTCAGTTACCCACCATCTTAGAACAAATAACAATATAGGAATTTTATTCAACAAAAGATCCCAAATGTTATGCAATATTTAAGTAACACGTCACGTTTGTTGTAAAAGTTTCTTACTATGTGATTGTGTAACAAATGCTTAATATAATGTTTCAGACCTAATGCGGCGTGACAAATCGATAATGTCTTAAATTTACTAGTAAATAAAACTACGCTCCCTTATTACCTATTTACAACTTAGAAACATAATTTAAAACTTATTGTCTCTACCAAAAGAAATGAGTTACGGTGCGGACTTCACTAAGGCAATTTCTCAACAAATCGTCGTCACAGGTGCTTTAAATGTTTCTTACACATCGCTCATTTGGTGCAACACTGACACAATTGTGCTTCTTGTAAGTAACGCTACAGAAAATGGATTTGAATTGATTTTTTAACTTTACATCAAATTTATGACGTGTAAAAAGAAAACTTTGTGTATTTTACAATATGTATAAATTTAAAATTACTGCCGACTTTTCTTTAAACGTTAACACTTTTCATGTTACAAATGTTACATACTTAATTAAATTTTGCCAAAATTACTATTGCGTCAATATTGCACCAAATGAGCAAATATTGTAAACTGCCATGTAAAAATAAACTAATCTAATCTAAAAAATATTGTAGCAAGGAAAAGATTTAACGGTGTACAAAGTGAACACAAAGAAACAGGAGAAAAGTTTGATTATTCGCTTTCAATGTTTTCGTTACCGCGGTCTCCTCAACGACAACTGAAAGGCATAAAATATTGAAGTCCTCGTCAAAGTTAATCATATGAGTTCGAGCTCAAAAACATGATGGCTGCTGTACAATGTTGAGGGGTCCCTCTCACCTGTCTAGCATTTCTGTCATCAGATCACTTTAACATTTCTTTCATTGATTAGAATTACACCTATATGCCAAATTTTAACGTGGGTGAAATTCAATAAACCAGATTCATCCCCTAATTGGCCACCCTACGATGTAGAATATTTTCTTCGAATTTGAATGAAACTACAACTGAGGTACCCCCTTTCCAACAAGAAAAGAATCATTGAAATCGGTTCACAAATGTCGTCGCGTAACATACACACAAAAAATACCATTAAATTTGCCTCCTCCTTTTTTAAAGTCAGTTAAATAATAATAACAAACCATTTATATCAATCAATAGGCCATAAGATAATGGTGTTAGTTGCAAAAGAAAACTTTAGAACTATGTTTACTATGATTGCAATGAATTTCGAAAATTTGATTATATTATTTAAAATATGGAACCATAAATATTAAAATTAAGAAAATTCACAAATTATCACTTAATTTCACCAGTAGCGTTTTTTTCATCTTAATCCAAAACTTTAAAATTGTACAGTCAAGACTATAGGCAAACATCTTCAAATAAAAAAAATAGTAATAATTTTATCTTTAATTCGTTTTAATAAAGCTGTTTAGATTTATATGTAAAAGTTGTAGTATGAATAATCATTTAACAAACATTGCAGTCACTGAAAGCATATCTTCGTAGAGCGCGTTCGACAGCCGACAGAATATCTCAAGAACCCTGCTCGCGTTCACGCGTTTTTTGCAATGCGGGAACCATTTCTAAACTATATTCTATCTCTATCGTTTCTAAGTTTCGTGTCTTAGTAGAAACGAGACAGAACGTGTGCAGTGCTTTTATTCGACTATGGCAGTGTCACATCAATGGTTTATACAATGGTTGCCTCCGTCTATGGTACTGTCGGACGTAAACCGGGAATATCAAAGTATCAATCATCGATGGAACGATAAATGGTCATCTCCTGTGTTACGCAATGTGGACAAAGAGTTTGAATATTATGACCCTTATGAACCACCAGATTCCGTTCAAAGACAGGAACAGCCGGCTTATAAAGACGATCAAAAGAATGTAGAGTTCAAATATAATGGTGAGTTATTATTTTTAAACTTTAGTGACCAATTTGTCCGCACAAGGTGATACTCTTGCTTGTAATAATTTTATAACTGTTTAGTTGTCACAATGAAAGTTTACATTTTAACATAAAAATAGCAAAAATATCAAATTATCTATTGCTACAAATTGGACCTGTGAGTAATAAATAAGCCCAAAACTTTTGTTAGTTTGAAAAATCAAATGCACGCGATTTAGATCCGAAAAAAATGGGTACATTTTCAATAGCAAAACGTGCTTAAATCGAATTCTTAGATTTTCGGAACACAAAGGTAATAAAACTATTTGTCGGATTTAAATCATGTATATTTGTTTTTTTTTTCAAACAAACCAACGTTTCGGGCCCTTTACATGTCCCATGGTCACGTATGTTATGTCCAAAATATAGACGTATTATATTTTCTTTGGTATTTTATGAATTTCGTGATTTTTACAAACGTTACACACATTAGTGCGTGTTAATGACGCGAAAAATAGGTGTCAGAGTCGTAAGAAGGCTATGGTAGGGTAGGCATAGACCCCTATGGGAAATGATTTTTATGACATATGTGGTTTATATGGCGTGCTAGCAATAATTTTAACGTTCTATGTAACACTTTTGATCTGGATATTTTGAATATGAATGTGGTTTCTGCAAGCCGAAAACTGATAGGATACTTCTTTGACTCATGTCATTTTTGTAAATAATACCAATGTAATAAATGTAGTTATACGTTCCTTTCTTTATAAAAATTTGTTAGTTTTAAGTGGCTCAGTATAATAACAATTATGGTGGGTCCTATGTAAATAAGCTGTCATGGGAGTAAATAAAGTTTTTATCAATCTATCTAAATCGCAAAGGTTGTAGGGGTGCTGCCACTGCGCCTTCGGACATAAGTACCAATTACCTGGGCTCAAACTATCGAATTCCTTGTAGTATGAGTACAACAGAGCCAACGAACTTAATCTGGAGCACTACTGAGCGAACAGCCAAACCGGAATTTAGAAAAGTTCACTTCCTAAATCGGTTTCACCGGGAATCGAACCCGAAACCTCTTCATGCAACGCCCACAGTGCAAACTGTCAAACCGCCGCGATCACCGTGTGTTTGTACATGACGAACAAAGTATTGTACGATATTAAACTATACTCTAGATCATGCAGATTTACGTGCACAGAACGTGGCCGGTGAATGTAGTCGATAAAAATATTGAACAAAATCACGACCCATATAGGCTGCAATTACCGGATGCGTGTGAAACATTAACGAAGGCGACACGCAACTTTTGAACAATCGTTGGTCGATATCATTAAAATTCGTTTAGTTCCATAAACTTTTACATTCAATCTTCTAAAGGCAATAAAGAGCAGCAGGGGAAATTGTTTGGACATGGTTTGAACATATGTTACAATTGTCACGCGGGTCTCGCGTAGAGTAAGAAATGATCCTTTTTAATTGTGGTCATTTCCCATTGTGGCCCAAAACCGCCAATTCAAAAAGTCGCCAATTCTAGAAGTGGTCAATTCAAGAAGTGGTCGTAGATGCCCCAGACAACAGCGAAGAGATCCGGTGTAAACGAGAGGCGATAGTCACCCGGTTGACCCTGAGCCTGAAAACGGCTACTGGGGAGATGCGAACAGGGTCAGGTTTAATGCGGCTAAAACATAGGCGTGTCTTTACACATGACATCGGAGTCCCCTACACCTTACTCCGACTTTCCTAGATGTATCCGTGCCGATAAGGGACCACCTTGAGCTACTTGGTCTGGATTTATCATCCAACCTCAACTTTGGGCGATCGAGTGCTTGGCAAAAACTACTGCCAGAAAATTAGGCATACTTTACAAAGTCAAGCAGTACTTAACACCTGAACAGCTTTTAAATCTATATAAAGCACAAGTTCGATCGTGTATGGAGTACTGCTGCCACCTTGTCATTTCTCATTGTGGCCTTAAACCGCCGAAAGGAGAGAAAGTGAGTAACACTCGGTTCGCGTGAATTTATTGTACAAGTACAACAGGGAAAAGGTGAAGGAACGTAGAAAGGAAGGACAGGCTGTAATTAAAACAGGTAGGTACAAAAAAAGGCTCGACAAAAACAATAGTATAAAAACAGGTACAATAATAAAAAACACTCCCTACGGTTAGAACTTGTTAGTTTATTATAATATGATGAGTGAACTTACCCCAAAAGGACCTATATTCGTATTATTGCTGCTTATAAGCAGTTAGGTTACGTGATTAAGATCACGTCTGCTCGCCTCGAGATTTTTCTATGGAGTAATGACGGAAAAAGAAAAGAATTAGATAACGATTCAAAATTTCAAAAGTAAGTGGACAGGAACCAGAGAAAAGGGTGATAAGATGGATGAATAGAAGGATGACGATGAAAGAGGTCGCATCGTCATACAGTGGCGAATTTGTGGGAGCTATAACTGACACAAAAGAGTGGACGCAATGCAATGAAGTTTTAAAACAGTTACAAGTTTTATAACTTCACCCATAATGTGCATCATGTCATCAAAACTCTGTCATACGTAATGAATGCCGATATTAATAAAATAGTTATTTGTACTGATAACAAGATTGCTCCACAACATTTAAATCGCTGTGTTCACGGACATCCAGTTACACTAAAGTCTGTCGTTTTTGAAGATAGAGTAAAATCACATTTATAGGGTTGCCAGTTTACATAAAATTTTAAATAGTTACGTAGACAACTACGTAATTATTTAAAATGTGTGTATGTGTCGATAGTTTTATCGATAGATTATGTAAGAAGATAAAATTTTGCCAAAAATTACCAAATTGTAAAAGTTACGACGTTCTATTGCTTACTAATTGTGTTATTGCCTTTTTTTTTATTTTGACAGTTGGCCCACTAGTATCGAGACCAATTTTTATTCGTATACGTTTTAACAAGAATAACTGTATTGTATTGAATTGAAAAGAAAATCTTTAAAATATAATAATAACGCACACACTCAACATAGCCGCGCACTAGGGAAACCCTGAGTCGCGGGTGCCATGGACACACGAGAGAAATAATTTAGGCCATACAAATATTTCACCCGGCCCGGAAATCGAACCTGGGACCTCTGCGTGGCGGTCCGGCATGATAACCGTTCGGCCACGGAGGCAGTTAAATATAAATATGTCTCCTCTTTCTTCTTATTTCTCTTATTTTTCATAAACATAGTTCTAAATACAGTGTATTATGTATGAACTTACAAACAAAGACAATTTAACTTGTGCTCAGTGATTGGATGAATAATGGGTCGAGGATGATTCAAATTAAACAATTTCGGCTATTTATTCCATAAGCGTATTCAATATTCAGACGATAGTCGATAGAATATTAATCGACTGCAATCACTAGCAGCTCACAAGCGAGCAACACTTGTGCAATGAACTATCACTTTACTCCGTATTCAAAAAAGACTGACTACAGTAGTATATACGGTCATAGCTAAAATACAAGAACTTATATCCCGAAATGTACAATTGAAGTTGCAGTGGGTACCATCGCACATTGAGCTAATGATGAGACTGACATCCTAGCTAAGTGTGGAATAACAGAAGGGCAAGAGGTGAATATACTAAAGATTAAAATAATAATAAATGAGAATAAATTAGAAGGAAACAGAGGAAGACTGAGGATGACGTACAGCGAACAAATATAAAGGACTAAAGCTAAAAAGAGTCAAAGCAAATAATCTTTATTTCTTAGGTAAGCAAAATTACATAATAAAATCTATTGCTCATTTGTAAAGCAGATTTCCCTGAGAAGAAAGAATGAGCAAAAAGCTCTATAGGGTTCTTTGTAAATATACTTCCAGACATATCGTTCGAGCCACCTCGCATTTTTGTCATAAAGGGCTAGAATACAAAAGTAGTGTTATCGCCGTAGAAAAAGTTTTCCCTCGATTTTGCAAATCCAAATTTCCAACAAGGATTTACGGAAAAGACGTTTAGTATACTAGTTTTAAGATTGCTTAATAGTTTTTGACATATGTTGACACAGCTCATGTACCTACCTGTAATTTCAACTTACTGCTTGGCGGCAGAAATATGCAAGATGACAATATTTGCTCTTCCACAAGGAGCTCTGTGGCTACTAATTTAATTTTGGATTCAAAATGCAGTTACATTTTTCCCTCAAAAAGGTAAATTTAGTTTTTTTTATAACATCAAGTGACGGGACGAATAATAGACAAGGAGTTAGCTATGAACCGTGAAAAGTGGAGTAGGCTATACTGACAAGAGTCTGGCTCGAAAACGACGATGTTCTGATGAATTGTTCATTAAAATATCTATACCTATTTGGTACTATAATGTGGCAACCGCTATACATCCTAATGTTGGGCGCGGTGTTCTCCTGAGCAGACAGACACATTTAGATCACAGCCTGGACAGATAGCCAATTGCAATCAAGACTAGGACATATTTTTATCAACCATCTCTTCCCTCATTAAAGCAAGTGTCAGTAATAAACTAAAACGTACACACTGGAAAGAACTGAGAGGAGGTTTTGAAGTGAAGGGTGCTGGTGAAATTACAGGCACATGGGAATTGTCAACTTATGTCTCAGGGTGCATAATTTGCAATGGACCCGATCGCAGTGCCCCTCAGATCTGTACGATTCAAAGCTCTGATTGACACTGCAATATTATGCACAGGGTTGTCGCTTACCACCAAGTACACGCCTAGTTCGTCCCACTTGTTATCATAGTATCGCACAGCAACCCGCCGCTACTTCGTGCCCTCACAATGCTCAACAAACTCTTCACATACGGACCGTAGTGTGATGCTGGAGACTCTGTGAATGCTAAAGAATTGAGTGCATTAATTATTAATACAAAGATCGAATACTTAGAAAAAGTTTCTTCGATCCGGCCGGATTCGAACCGACGTCTTCTAGCAAACTGTGCTAGACGCTATGCCAACTGGCCACTGAATGAACCAGCGGATCTCACGAATTTTTCTATGTGCTTGTTAT